TGGCAGGAATGGTTGCTCGGGGGATGGGAGTAGAGGGAGGAGGAGGAGGAGGAGAGGTATCACTGGAGGAAAGGAGGAGCAGGAGGAGGACAACGAAGAGGAGGAAGAGAGAGAGAGAGAGAGAGAGAGAAGGGGGAAAAAAGGATGTTTGGTGTGGAGTCTGGCGAAAGTTGTTTTTCTTTCGCGTTCATTTTGTTTTAGGGGTCACAGGGGAATGAAAGATTAATTAGGTGGAAGCTATTTTCCTTAGGTTGGGGTGAGATGAAGAGGGAGTGGGGAGGAGGGGAGAGAGAGAGAGAGAGAGAGAGAGAGAGAGAGAGAGAGAGAGAGAGAGAGAGAGAGAGAGAGAGAGGAGAGAGAGAGAGTAATACTGTGTCAAAGTCACTGTGTCTCGTGTTTCAAGATCCGGATTAAAATCTCTGGTCCCCACGGCATCCTATCTTCCCTTCCTTAACACCTCCCCCCTCATCATCCCCTCACCATTCCCCTCATCATCCTCCTCCTCATCATCTTCATATCCCCCTCATCATCCCCTCATCCCTCATCATCCCCTCATCATTCTCCTCTCATCCCCTCATCATCCCCCTCATCATCCCCCTCATCATCCCCCTCATCATCTCCCTTATCATCTTCCTCATCATCCTCATCATCTTCATCATTTCCTCTCATCATCTCCCTAATCATCTCCCTCATCATCTCCCTCATCACTTCCTCATCCTTTCCCTCATCACCTCATCATCTCCCTTCATCACCCCTCTCGTCATCCTCTCATCATCTCCCTCATCATTTCTTTAATCTCCCTCGTCACCCTCTCATTATCTCCCTCATCATCCCCCTCATCATCTCCCTTATCATCTTCCTCATCACCTCCTCATCATTCCTTCATCATTTCCTCTCATCATCTCCCTCATCACCCCCTCATCATCTCCCTCATCACTTCATCATTTCCCTCATCACCCCTCTCGTCACCCTCTCATCATCTCCCTCATCATCCCCCTCATCATCCCCCTCATCATCCCCTTCATCATCCCCCTCATCATCCCCTCATCTCCCTCATCATCCCCCTAATCATCCCCCTCAATCATCCCCCTCATCATCCCCCTCATCATCTTTCTTATCATCTCCCTCATCACCTCATCATCTCCCTCATCATCTCCTTTATCATCCCCTCATCATCCCCCTCATCATCCCCCAGGTGACAGCCCAGGGTGAGGCTGTGGGCTCGCACCACTGTACCTGTTAAACGTTACTTCTTATCCACTCTTCCCTCCATTAATTTCCTCTCTTCTTATTAGCAACTGGAAGCTGAAGACTCAGACGAGTCACAGGGACGTTAGGAAGTATTTCTTCAGTCATAGAGTCGTCAGGAAGTGAAATAGCCTAGCAAGTGAAGTAGTGGAGGCAGGAACCATACATAGTTTTAAGAAGAGGTATGATACAGCTCAGGAAGCAGAGAGAGAGAGGACCTAGTAGCAATTAGTGAAGAGGCGGGGCCAGCAGCTGAGTCTCGACCCCTGCAACCACAATTAGGTGAGTACAATTAGGTGAGTAACACACACACACACACACACACACACACACACACACACACACACACACACACACACATGCAAGCATATGTACATAACAAGGATACATATATACACAATGACATATATTTCTGTTCTCCTTGACATTTTTATCCCTTTCTTCACTATTTTGCATACCCTGAGGCAGAGGTGGCTGGGCTTGTGCAACACGGGGGAAGATCTTTCTCATCTTGCAGAGTGAACACATCTAGGTCTTATAAATTTCCCAAAGAATATGATGATCACTGGTGACGAGTTCCCATTGCTTATATATGGAAAGAAGAAAGAACTGAAAAGGAGCACTGTACATAACTCAAGAGGATCGTCAAATAGAACGATAGAACAAGTGAAAGATCTGGGAGTGGCTATGTCAGCTGACCTTTCTTTTAAGGAGTACAATAGGGCAAATGTCACGACTGCCAGGAAGATGACGGGATGGATAAAGAGAACTTTCAAAACAAGAGAAATAGTGTCAATTTTAACACTATTCAAATAGACTGTTCTCTCTCGTTTAGAGTATTGTTCAGTGTTGTCGACCTCGTTCAGGGTAGGGGAGATGTCAAAGCTGGAATGTAAACAGAGATCATTTACGACATGCAGAGAGTCAATGAAGAATTTAAATTACTGGGTTATTACATGTGAACTCTCTTCTGGAGCCGAGGACAGACAGAGATATATGATAATATATACCTGGAAAGTACTTCAGGGCCTTGTCCAAAATCTGCACACTGCCATAACAACATACTGGAGTGAGAGATGTGGGAGGAAGTGCACATATACCTAGTAAAAAGCAGGGGCACCATGGGCGCAATAAGAGAACACTGTATCAACATCTTACCAGAAGATATTAGAAATACTGCTGGAACATATATAGAAGTCTTCTAGATAAGTATCTCTGCCAAGTGCCAAATCAACCAGACTGTGAAAGATAAGTGGGGTCAACGGACTTCCAGGAGCAATAGCCAAGTTGACCAGGCTAGCAGCAGATGAGACTGGCCCAAGGTCGGGCTTTAGGAGTAAGAAAACTCTCGGAATTTCTGGACTGCAATGTCTATAAAAATCGTTCATTTATTTAGTCAATGCAAAGTGTGGATGCAGTCTCAAAATTTCAGATGTAAAGAATAAAAAAGGCACAATACCGTGACTGGAACAATACACAAATATGAGATAAATGGTTTAAAACCAACAAGTTGAAGATTGAGACAATTATGCAACATATGGGAATCTATATTGAAGAAACGTTTCGCCCCACAGTGAAGATTCCCATATGTTGCATAAGTATCTCAAACTTCAACTTGTCGTTTTTTTTATTAAACCATTCATCACAACTGTCAGACACTGGAATATCATGGGATCTTGATACAAAGAATTCTTCAACTATGTCCAACCTTTGGACGAAGACCTACTTCGACTAGTGGATGGTACCACTATCCCCCCGCCTCCTTCTGCTTCCCCTCACCTGACTACAGTATATAAGCCACGTCTACGGCCCTATGCTGTACTTTCCACAAAATTGATGGACTGAACACATCGACTCCAGCCTGAGGGACTGATTACCTCAAACTCATCATCTTCTTACACCCTTCTGATTTGTATTGGACTGATGAAGCCACTGTGTGGCGAAACGTTTCTTCAGAAAAGATTCCCATATGTTGCATAAGTGTCTCAATCTCCAGTACACAAATAACCCGGACGTAGGAGAGAGAAACTTAGACGATGCTTCGGTCCTACTTTAACCATTAAAAAGTCACACTAACACAAGAGAGGGAGTCTGTATATAGGTGAGGGGGACAGGGACGGAACCAAGAGGGGAAGAGGAAGAGGTTGTCGTAGTATAGGAAAGAAGTAGTGATAGTAGTTTAAGTGGGACAAGAAGTGGACGTTGAGGTGTTCGTGCCATATCCTGTAAAGTGTGCAGGGTGATGTCTCTGAAAGGTAGGATGTTTATACACTCTTAAGATATATGGCCCGTGTGTCTGTCCACACACCAGTGATGCACTGTCTCGGGTACCACACCATGTATGACACTTCTCTGTACACACACCAGTATGAACTGTTCTATACACCATTTAAGACCGTTCTATACACACCCAGTGTATGAAATTCTCTGTCCAAAAAACCAGTGTATACACTGTCTCTGTCCACACACCATGTAATGCACTGTCTCTGTACACACACCAGTGTATGACACTGTCTCTATACACACACCAGTGTATGACACTGTCTCTGTCCACACACCAGTGTATGACACTGTCTCTGTCCAACACCAGTGTATGACACTGTCTCTGTCCACACACTGCATTTGTCACTGACATCACCATACAAACAGTACTCATTATGACTGATAATGAATCTGCTAGTTCCTATCTGTACTATTCTACTTTCTTCAAGGTCGTTTGCTAGTTCCTTTCTGACAACGTCTCCCGAACTTCCGGTTGGAAAACTAAAGTTATACTCAACATTCTCTCTCTTTCTAATATTTGTTCGGCTAATTCCACGACTTCGTCATGCTCCTGGAGGCCTGTGTGAGATGAAATCCACAAACGCTTAAAAGTAATCCATTTCTTAATAATTTGTATATATCTGTGCCCAGCTTCAATGCACCAGCATGTTACGCTCAGGTCTCAGGCTATTTAAAGCAGGTAATGAGAGAGAGAGAGTCAGATACAATCAGAATGTGTGTGATTGTTATGACACGCTTGAGAACAACAAGTGTGACAAACAGTTTGTAAGGTGGAAGTCATATTATTAGATCTAATACACCTCTGTATTACAGTGTCATCAGACTGGTTTACAATAACAGCGCTTCCTGCCCTCCCACTTCCAGGGTTAAGGGAGCCAGTGCCTTGAGAGACGGGCGCCAACATTTCTGTTCAAACGATTCTCCTAACCACAGCATCTTCACCCCTCGTTCAGAGTGCAAGCACTGTACTTCCCACCTCCAGGACACCAGCCCGGTTCACCAATTTCCCTGAGTTCCTTCGTAAATG